ATATCAAAACTTTATTTCGTTATTTACATTTGTCAAATACTCAATTGCAAATGTCCATATTACCGTCACCTTCCTTGCTTCATTAATGTTGGCAGCTTGTTTATTGTCCCTTTCCACATCAAGGTTTTTTTTCCAAATTATTTACCCCTAAGCGTGAAAATATATAGCCTAAAGCGTGTCATAATAGTAGAGCCTTTTTTTAAAGACTAGCTGTTCGCGTGCTACTTCATCCGCATAAAATTATAAAAAAAATGTTTTATTGTTTACATGTGTCAAATTATCAATTGCTAATGTCAAAATGACATGACGATGACAAACCATGGCAACCTTGCTACTATGATGTTGGCAGCAACTTATGGTCTTTTTCCCACATGAAGGTTTTTTTTTCCAAATTATCACTACTAAGTTTAAGCGTGAATTTATATAGCCTAAAGTGTGTCGTAATAGTAGAGTCTTTTATTAAATAAAGAATTATTAAACATGCTGTGATTGCTGACATCCTACGCCACGAAGTAGTGTGTTTACACTTTATTATATTAGTATAAAAGTGCTGTAGAGTACAAAATGGTTGGGAACCCCTTTTTATTACAATATAAGGTGGCAAACGAGCAAGCGGTCACCTAAATCCACCGAAATGGAAAGAGATCGCTGCCCATAAACATTCGCAATTGCAGATGCGTTGCCTACCCTTAATTGACGGAGGAGACGCACATAAAGAGGAAATTTCTCCTTCCTATGCGTCTCCTCCACCGTCAAATCCACTTTTCCTTCCCATCCTTTTCTTATAAGAAAAGAGTGGAAAGGGAAAGGGACTAAAATTAGGCCTTGCTTTGGAATGGTTCATCTTCCCTATCCCCACTTGGCGATAAAATAAATGTAAAAACAAGTTGAGGAAGACAGTAAAGTATGTACAAATTGCTAAATATGTGCGTAAGGGAGTGAATACAGATAACATCGTAAATATAACATATAAGCAATAAACAATAAACATTCCAACAAGTGAAAGGTGCCCTATATGAAAACAATAACATCAATCAATAATTATTTATATATAACAGTTTAACATATACGTAGTTGTTTTTGTTTGTAAACTCTATCTCTTTGATTGTACTTAGCTTGGTAAATATAGCGATAGTACAATATTTGTGATACAGCACACGACATACAAACACGCAAGTTTTAGATAAATGTTACGTACACGCCTCTATACTAATATAATAAAGAGAAAAGTTTAATATTTTTATATGTCTTGATATAACTCAAAAACTACTGGATCGATTTCAAAAATTCTCTCACCAAAAAGCTACGCTACCACTGAGTAATATATACGTACTTATATATATATACGCTATATTTATTATTCTTTAAATAGGCCTAATTTAAGTCCCTTTCTTTTTACCACTCTTTTCTTATAAGAGGTTGGGAAGAGGAAGTGGATTTGACGGTGGAGGAGATGCATGGGAAGGGGAAATATTCTCTTTATGTGCGTCTCCTCCGTCGTATAAGGGTAGGCAACGCATCTGCAATTGCGGATGTCGATGGGCAGCGGTCGCTTCGCCATTTTGGCGGTTTCAGGTGGTCGCTTGCTCGTTTGCCACCTTATGTTATAAAAAAAAAATAACGCCGACGAATTCGCAAACAACTAGTATATTGTACTTAGTAAACGATTTCGTATATTTATGTATCGTCTAGAAAGTTTTTTATTGTATCCCTCTCTAAGGGTAAGGAAAGGAAGATGAACTCTCTAAATATTCGTCTTCTAGGCGTGTTATAATTAGTTCTCATTAGCTCACTATAAGTCTCCACTTAGGGGCTCGGAGCCTACCCTAAGTAAGGGGTGACTAGGCCATAGTCAACCACGCTGCCCAATGCGGGTTGGTTGACTTCACACATATCTTTGAATTTCTTCGCCGATATGTGCAGTCATCACGATGTTTTCCTTCACCGTTAGAACGTCGGGTAAATTATATATATATGAAAATTCGACAAATCGAAAATTACATTGGTACAGCGGGATTCGAACCCAAGACCTGTAGATTACAAGTGCTTAAACCACTGAGCCACCGACGCTCCTACGTGTAATAGTAACAAACATTAATTTAGTTAGCGACCAATTATCGCTATACCACGCTTTATTCGGCGACTACGTCACATATTACTATGTTAGTACTAATAAAACCAGTAAACAATACTTAAGAGCTGGTATGGACAAGTTTTTCGCTCGTGTATATTTTCAGACAAGAGATGTTGTGAGTTTCTTGTAAGAGACACTCGTAGAAGGGTGTAATAGTTTACCTACACAGTTCTTAACACTAAACACAGATTCATAGCCACTTTCCCAGATATATTTAACAATTCGTTAGTGATTTCAATTCGATAATTTCTTGAAAAGCGTTTTCGAAAACTCGAGTTTTACTCCTTTGAATTTTAGTTTAACCCTATCACTAATTCATCATTAGGTAATGATAAAAAAAATGGAAATTTCAGCAACACAATATCGGTTTTCAGTAGAACTTTAGTATTGATTTTGCATTCTAAATCTCTCGACACCTTAGTGATCAGAATCTGATGCCAGTGTTCACTAACCATCCCCTAATTATAAAAATTACAAAACGCTTAAACCACATGAAACTTTCGTTGTAGGCACAGACCAGTAACTGACCCGTTGGGTCTTCACAGTGAAGGAATCATCTTCTTCCCCTAATCTATACTATTATAATAAAGCGTAAACACACGCTTTGTTGCCTAAGATGTCAGCAATTACAGCATATTTTTGAATAATTCATTTTTAAATAAAAAGCCCTACACTTACGTAACGCTTTATGCTATATATTTTCACGCTATTAAACTTAGGGGGTAAATATTTTGGATAAAAACCTCAATGTGGGAAAGAGACCATAAGTTGCTGCTAACATCAAGAAAGCAAGATTACCAAGGTTTGTCATGTCATTTTGACATTTGCTATTAATAGTTTGACAAATGTAAACAATAAAATAAAATTATCATAACTTGATGCGGATGAAGCCGCACGGGAACAGCTAGTTAAGGTCTCTCTAAATGTAAAGAAGAATAACTATTGGTGAAAAGGGAATTATAAGTAGAACCCTCATTACGTACTGTTTAAAGGACCTTTTAATTTATAGGATAGTTGGTGATAATTGCCATTAGTGTTGCACTAAAAGAAAAGTTTTTAGGTTATTTTATTCAAACCCAATAAAGCTAATAGAAACTGAATATTTGATTAAATATTCGTTAATACGTGACGTCATATTTACGTACAGAGCTATTTGTCTATATTTACACAGAATCTTCTGATACGTCATATGTTTGCACAACTCTTTAACACGGAGCCTAGAAATAAACAAGCCTGGTTAATAAAATACAACGTTCGATTTGTAACCTTTGGCCTTTTAATAATGTGCCTGAATCACTATTTTATTAAAATACTAGCTGTTCCCGTGCGGCTTTATCCGCATGAAATTTTATTATTTACATTTGTCAAATTATCAATTACACAAATGTCAAAATGACATGAAATGATGACAACCTTGCTTCCTTGATGCTGGCAGCAACTTATGGTCTCTTTCCCACATTAGGGTTTTTATCCAAAATATTCATCCCTAAGTTTAGCCTAAAGCGTGACGTAAGCGTAGGGCTTTTTATTAAAAAAAGTAGTATTCAAAAATATGCTGTAATTGCTGACATCTTAGGCAACAAAGAAGTGTGTGTTTACGCTTTATTATAATAGTATAGATAATCACCAATTTTACAAAATTTCTTACAATTTAAAATAACTGGAGAAGATTGGGATTCGAACCTAAGATCAAGCAGTCAGTTTCGCTTTAACATCTTCGCACGAATGGGTCGGCTCGCCCGGTGATATACCACGACTACACAAAAGAAGTGGGAGCAATTCCGCGTTTCGTCTGTTGAGTGTGGAACCGGAGGTCCAACTTTAGTCCGTTTTCCTTCCCACCCTTTTTCCTATAAGAAAAGCCTGGGAAGGGAACGCAAATATTTGTCTAAATCGGTCGAAATCCTCATATATGTGGACAATATGACTAACTTTGACCTGGATACTATCTGCTCAGAATTAAAAAAAATATATATTACCTGTGTTTTTCCAGACTATTCTATCCGTCTATAAGAACAGAGGATACTTCCTATTATGCTTTATATTACACACGGAGTCGCGAGCGGAAGTTAGTTATTAGTAATGTATAAATTAATAAATTCGCAATAACATAGTTAGTAAAAATGTTTTAATATCGTTATCAAAAACTCGATAATGTTACGGTCAAGGAATGTTTTGGTTCGTCGATTTTGTCGTTGATATTTATTATCTAACATGACCTCAGCATAAACAAATATCTCTTGTAAAAATAATCAGTTAATTCTTAAAAGATCTTGTAAACTATAGTCTATAAAAATATATACTAGTGTTAGGAATAAAATTAGTACCGTGCTATAGAATTGGCGCAACTCTAGATTATCGGCATAAACGTCACGTCCCTAGCTGACAGCTGTCAATGTCACTAGAAGTACGGATAGATTTGGCGCGCATCCTAAGTCTTGACAAGAAGTATTGCTCTGAGTTAAAAGCGACAGTATCAATTAAATAAGTTGTCTAATACTAGTTATTTCCCGCGACTATATCCGCGTGGAAAAAAAAGCTTATTTGTTCTTCCTTACTATGTTCTACATCTATGCCAAATTTCATCGAGATCAGTTCAGCTACTAAAATTATCGCATTTATAATATTACTAGTAGAAAAAACAAAAGTACTATGTGTTCTTCCAGACTATCCTCTACATCTATACCAAATTTCATCGAAATCCGTTTAGCAGTTTAGGCTACAAACTCTAACAAACATCCATCTAAACTTTCGCATTTACGATATTAGTATGAAGTGTGCTAATGTGTTTGTTCCCTTTACATTACTTTAATGAATACAATATTGTTAATATTTATATGATATTTATTTCTATGTTTGTTTACAGAGACCAATGGTGCAGCTACCTGTACTGGTAAGTAAAAGATTTTTTCTTTTTAAAAAAGTAGAACGAACTGGATGTGAGGAATTTAGTTTGCTTTGTCTAAGTAACCATTCTTTTGTATTGAAACAAAATACGAATTTTCTTTTCTGTTCGTATATCTTTTTTACATTTCTAAGTTTTTCTCTACCGATATATCTTAACACACTTAAATACAGTCATGCCCATCTTACTAATATTATAAATGCGAATGTTTAGATAGATGTTTGTTGGTATTTGTAGCCTAAACTGCTGAACAGATCTCGATGAAATTGGACATAGAAATCGAGAATAGTCTAGTAAACAAATGGGCTACTTACGTTTTTTATTTCGACGCGGGTACAGTCGCAGGCAAAAGCTTAAAAAAAGATTTATTTATAAAGTTTCAAAATTTGTTTTAACACGAATGTGGTCAATCACCTGGTTCCTACACTAGGCTCTAGGCCCGTCTTGTAGGTGCCAGGGTTCTTCCGTCTTAGTGCTAGTTGTTATTTTTAGAACACTAATTTAAATCTAAACAAATTTACAATAAAAAAGGTAAGTTGTTTGTGAATTCAAATATTACTACGTATGTTGTGTTAGTGTGTGTGAATGTGAATTCGTAGGTGTATATGCGCTAATGTATATATATGTGATTATAGCTTTATGAATATAAAGATGTATTCCCTTCTACTTACCTTTTGAATCATCTTTAATACTTTTTAGAAACAAACTACCCTCATTTACTTAAGGGCTGATAACGTCCTTATATTGCTTTAAGCCTACTTAACCCCTCAAATTCTTATTTTATTTTTTGACAACATATCTTCGATTGAAAATGAACCTTAGAGACATTACACAAAGAGTTCAAATTGCAATAATAATGTGAATAATGTAGCTTTATTTATACGCCCTACGTTTCGAAAGCCAGACTTTATTTGACTAATGAAAGTCTAGTCTTTATTGATTTACGTTAGGTCTTAAGTATCATTAATAAGATTATCACTCTGTCCTTATCTACCTTTAGGTATTGTTATTGATTCAGTGTTTGTCTTCTAGATGGATTATACGTCATCTCTGTCAAGAAGGTAGTGACCCTTCTTGATCGTGCCACTTTAACGCTATTTGTCCATCAATATATCTCTCACTAGCTAGGATTAAAGAAAAGGTGCCCATGTGTGCTTCCAGACTATCCTCTACATCTATACCAAATTTCATCGAAAACGAGCCGTTTGGGCTACAAACTCCAACAAACATCCATCTAAACATTCGCATTTATAATATCAGTATGATTTATTTGTAAAAAAAGCCTACAAAGCTGACACAATGCTAACGTTAAGCAATAAAACTGTTTTCGAACCTTTGGATATCGTAAAAAAATCTGCTTCGACAATCACAAGATTCTAACACGCCGTTACAATTCACCAAAGGGTCAATAAAAACTTCATACTTTATTAGTGGTAGTAGCATCAAGTAGTGATGTGCTAACGCTTATTTGAATATATCGATAACTAGCTGTACCCGTGCGGCTTCATCCGCATGAAATTGTAAACACTTTATTATATTGTTGACATTTGCCAAATTTTATTGTAAATGTCCAAATTACCGTTACCATAACAACCTTGCTCCCTTATTGTCGCATTTAGGTTTGTCTTCAATTTATTTACTCCCTAAGTTTAATAGCGTGAAAATATATATCCTAAAGCGTGTCGTAAGTGTACGGTTTTTTATTAAAGAAATAATTATTCAAAAATATCCTGTGATTGCTGACATCCTACGTCACGAAGTAGTGTGTGTTTACGCTTTATTATATTAGTATAGAAGTATAGAATTGAATTTAAATTTTTAATATTCAGATGGTAAAAGTAAGTATTATTTCAGTTTACTTTGATATTTAAACATACAGATTAAAATCAAATCTTCCGTAGGGCACAAGGCAGCTACCTTCTATAGACCTCAAAATTACAAATTAGGTAGTCCTAGACCTAGCCTAGATCATGTGATACACCAGTAGCTTGGCGAATAAAAATTAACAAAGATGTTATAAAATGGTCAAAAAATATATCACAATTAAAGAATCGATATCGATACTTCTAAAACAGAACATCCCTATATACAGCATAGATAGTGTATGAAAAGCAAAAATTTAATTGGTCACTAACTACTTTAACTACATAGTTATTGTTTAGTGCGTAATATTTGCATTTTGTCTCCTTGACACCATTTTTTTTGATAAGGGGCAAACGCTCGTTTCATATTTGGTTATCATTGACGTGTCTAAATACTGGTAACACTAAAGAAAATGCTGTTGCAGAAATGACTACGTTGTTTTCTTGTAGGATCTTAAACTAAAAACTTGAGTTGGATTCTAGGAATCATACTCAAGCTTTCAGTTTATCTATACATATAATAAAATGTGAGTGTCTGTTTGTAATATCGATAGAAAAACTCCAGATTTCGGAAAGATGATGTATTTGCGTTGCTTCGCGCCGCGTTTGTTCCGGGTATTCTCCGAAACGGCTGGGCCGATTTTGACCGGACTTTCACTGGGGGGTACCTGACGTAGCCGGGCATGTTATAGGCTACTTTTTTTATTCTGCGCTATTAAAATGGTGACCGGATCGAATGGACCGATTTGGTCGAGACTTTGACTGGAAGGTAGCTGATAAATGATAGATGCACGCGGGAATATTCTGCGCTAACGTAGTTTGCGGGCGACAGCTAGTGACATGTACTCGTAATTATTACAATGACGTAAAGTCTAGTACTTCAATTTGAACCTAATAATTGAAGTTTCATCAACTCTTTTACATTCCATTTTATTAAAACCCGTCTGCGTTTTCAAATAGTGCATAAATTTTCAAAGTAAAATAATTTCCCGGCGAGCGGGCGAAGTTGTGAGGCGTTAACTATCCACCTACTTAATATTACGAGGTACGAAGTTAGTTCACGAGTCTAGACCTAGGTATAGCTAGGTGGCGGTACGGCTTTTATTGTTCCACCTAGACTGGGGAGTTATTACGTTTCTGCGCCATTAACGAGTATAGACCAAGAGCTATTGCTGAAAAAAATATCTAAGAAAAATTTTCTAACGTCGAAAGAACTTGATTTAATTGTTTACAGAGTTGTCAGTGACTACGAAGAATTGTGTACAATCGGCCTATTTATATCTTTACTAATAATATAAAGAGGAAATATTTGATTTTTTTTTGTATTGAAATAACTCACGAACTACTGGGCCGATTTCAACAATTCTTTTACCTTTAAAAAGCTACATTATCAGTGAGTAACGTAGGCTATTTTTAATGGCACACGGGTGAAATAGCGGACAACAGCTAGTTCTATCTAAGATAACTAAATAACAGCAATCCATGTCTCTTTAATTGCTAAAGTTAGAAGTATTTGATTTGTTTATAAAAACTTTATTCCCGTTGCTATGCTGAAAATATAGACAGAAATATCTAGTATGAAAAAGTTTCTGTTATATATCAAGAATATATTATAAATTTATATACGGACACTTAATTTCCTTACATTTTATTATCGCCACGATCGTTTTGGTGTAAAAAGGGTTCGTTTTATCGGATCGTTTAGAGGCTTTTCCATTTCCTGTCTAAATTCGTAGCTATCTTTGTATTAGTATACTCGACACTAATATTATAAAGAGGAGAAATTTGTATTTTTGTATATATTGAAGTTACTCAAAAACTACTTGACCGATTTTAAAAAATCTTTCACCATTAGAAAGCTATGTTATTAATGAGTAACATAAGTTATATTTTTTTATTAATTCTTAATTTCACGCAGTCGAAGTCGTGAGCAATAGCTAGCCTTAAATATATAATTAAATTATAAAGGAATTTAACTATAGCAATGTATTTTTCATCCAAATTTTCACTTTACAATATATTTTAAGAACAATCTTACTTCTTACTTCTTACTGTATAATAAATGGTAAAGTTTAGATGTATGGATGGATGTTTGTTAGAGTTTGTAACCTTAAATGTTGAACGGATCTCGGTAAATTTTGGCATATATGTAGAGGATAGTCTGGAAGAACACATATGCTACTTACATTTTACTTAAGTCCACGCGGACGGAGTCGCAGGTGAAAGTAATACAATTTAATTTAGTTATTGATCATCAAAACCTTTTCAAGGCCATATTTTCTTTTATAATAACTAATAACTTCATAGCAAGATATGTATCATCATCATCATCACCAGCTCACTATACGTCCCCACCGAGGGGCTCGGAGCCTACACTAATATGGGGTGACTAGGCCATAGTCAACCACGCTGGCCCACTCCGGGTTGACTTCACACATATCTTTGAATTTCTTCTCCGATATGTGCAGGTTGTATCACGATGTTTTCCTTCCCCCTAAGAACGTCGGGTAAATTATGTAATTATGTAAATTCGTAAAATCTAAATGGAAATGTATGAAATAAAGAAAATGTGTCCTTTGTAAATATGATATACGTTTTGAAATATCTAGCTCCTGTTACAATTTCAGAAGGCGGTCACTGTAAAGCGTGGCTGGGCGTCGCTCTACAGGGGCGGAGTCCCGCCCAGGCTCATATTATAATATAGTTTCCTTTTTAATTAATGTTTTTTTATTCTCCGCCATTATGCTTTTAATGTATTGATTGGGTTTTGTTGCTGGTTTATAGGTCACGAGATATACGATTGCATTGATTTTAGATTTTTTTTAAATTCCTGATTAATATTCTAATAAGGATTTAAGTTATACTTTTCTTGTATATTACTTAATTTTCAAGTAAAGAATAAAAATAATAATAATAGTTAATAATTTTGTTTTGTACTCGTATAAAATCGTCGAATTTGTCTGAAAAACCTTCCATATTCTAAAGATATTCATTTTAATATGTCAGATATTGTATAGATTAAATACAAATTAACTAGCTTTTGCCCACGACTCTATCTACATGGAATTTAAAAGCACAATAATAAGTAGTCTATGTATTCTTCCAGACTATCCTCTACATCTATGC